GAGAGAGAGAGAGAGAGAGAGAGAGAGAGAGACCATTTTCTTATCATTGATACTTAGAGAGAGAGAGAGAGAGAGAGAGAGAGAGAGAGAGAGAGAGAGAGAGAGAGAGAGAGATCATTGTCTTATTACTGATACTTCGACGTCATGTAAGTCACCAACCTCTTTGCTCGTTCTTGGAGTCTATCTGTATTGTCAGGCGACACGAATTCACATAGTCATTGAAAGGAAAAAAAATAAATAAAAATAAAGATCATCACCAACAAATCCTTGGAAGTTACCTCCCCGACTAGAGAGAGAGAGAGAGAGAGAGAGAGAGAGAGAGAGAGAGAGAGAGAGAGAGAGAGAGAGAGAGAGAGAGAGAGAGAGACCATTATCTTATTATTGATACTGCGACGTCATGTAAGTCACCAACCTCTTTGCTCGTTCTGTATCTGTATTGTCAGGTGGCATGAATTCGCATAGTCATTAAATGGAAAAAACAAATAAAATAAAGATCATCACCATGAAGATCCAAGGAAGTTACCTCCCTGACTGTCTTTGTGAGAAGGTTGGCTACTGCGTGCCAATCAACTGGACAAGCGATCGGTCTTTGTGTTAAAATTGCACGCAGTAGTGAACTTTCCATCGACACTTTCCTTTTACACTTGGAACGACAATTCATGTCTTACGAAGTACTGCTATGTCTTCTATTTATGAGGTCTCTTAACGTTCTCGTTATGTGCGAGGCCGCGACTGTGTCGTGACCTTTTGCAACTGCAGCACAGCGCGCTAGCCGATCCACCATGGACTGACGAAATTGGTGAACGGTTTTTTCGTTCACCTCTGTTCTATTAACAACTTCCAGTATGTCCTTAGCTCTTACATCCGTTGGCGCGGTTCCTGCTAGAAATTGTATTACTCTAGCACTGATGCAACATACATAAACACCACAGTCCGTGAAATTGTTATACTGCGGGCATTCCGCGTGCAATAGTTTACATCCTAGTAGATCTCTTCATGTCACCAAGGACGTTTCAACCTTTTCCGGAGTCAACACCTTCGCGTTGGATGCCTCGTAGAGGTACTCGTGCCACATAAATGTTCGCAAGGCCTTCCATTCCTCTCGTTTCTTCCCTTTGAAGGAGTCAACAACGATGACAATAGGAGGTTCGCCGACATTGTTGTTCTCATTGACTGCCAAGAAGTTTCTCACATTCAACAACAGAAGCAAAACCCAATGTTTGCCATGATTCACAGGTATTACAGTAGTTGTCGTGCGTCACAATTCATTGCTTAGTCGATGCAACTTCCGTGGTCTGTTCTTGATCGCGTCTTCTCATCCGCTTTTCGTCAAATGCAATTTTTGATTACCAATGATCTGGGGGTGCCAGAAAGTTGTACACACATGGACTGTGAGGCTGCCCCGGGATGGCGAGTGTTCTTCATACACAGACTGCAAAAAAATGTCGATAGTGTTGTCGTTCAGCCATTCATTGTCGGCCAATCGTGCAACGTCGGATTTTGTTATGGGGATGGCATGTCTCATTGATTTTCACGTGAAGGGGAATAATTCATCCTCATCATTAATGACTGTCTTCTCTTCCCTCTTTCTGGACATATCCCCAAATTTCGCCTTTCCCCTAATGCTGGATGACTCTTCAACCATCAGTTGGGGAGACTTTACTTCACTCTCCGTCATCATATCGTACATTTCCGTGTACCAAGGGTCATTCAACATTTTCTTTCACCTCTTCACCGACCTCTCACTGCTCAGTGGCAACAACGGTTCGCTTGCGACCTCTCTGCATGACTGTTCGTCGTTATTTTTTGTCCTGGGACTAGTCGCCGTTTCACCCCCTATATACGAACACTTCTTGCCGCCACCACCCATGTTGCTTCTCTGTGACTCTGGCATGTTGGTCGGCTTCTCTTACCTACACTGTCTTATTCAGCGGCCACTGTCGCTCCTTCCCGAACGGCGCGCGAGGTCCCAAGTTTGTCTTCCTGTTCACACGTGTCGGTCAAATTGTCATGATATACACAAATTGTTATGTTTTGGGGTACTTGCAATGGTTTTTACAAAATACTTGTGTGTGTGTGAGAAAGAGAGAGAGAGAGAGAGAGAGAGAGAGAGAGAGAGAGAGAGAGAGAGAGAGAGAGAGAGAGAGAGTATTTCTTAGAGAGAGAGTTGGCTACTGCGTGTCAAAACTGAATCGGTGTCCCTGTTCACCATGTAATTGTCACGCAGTAGTGAACTTTTGAGTGGCTTTACTCTCACATGTGGTTTCATAAGGTTTACCACATTTGAAATGATTTCTATCAACAATTGACAGAAAGAAAGAGACAAACGTCATTTTTTGTTTCCCTCTCAGCTAGCACAAGAAAAACGCTTCTCTCTCTCTATGTCTGTCTCTCGCATATAACACCATAGCGAAACAAGACGAGTTTTTCACAAGGCGACAGATAGAGAGACATGTTTTTTTTAGCTTTTCTGTAATGCTTTTAAAAACGTTTCTCTCTCTCTCTCTCTCTCTCTCTCTCTCTCTCTCTCTCTCTCTCTCTCTCTCTCTCTCTCTCGCTCTACTACCTGTACCTCTCTCTCATGTGAGACCATAACGAAACAACATTCGTTTGTCACAGGGCGCTGTTCTCTAATAGCAAAGTTAGAAACTTGTAATTTGTTTCTTCTACAATACATACTTGTTCACATAAAAACTGTCCTCACGTTGTTTTGCATGCTGCTTCGATCCCCATTCTGGTTTAGAGAAACATGGAACAATGTGACCCGCGTCTACGATAGTGTCAGTTGATATGACGCTACTGTGTTGATGTTCATTCAACTTCTCCCATTTCAGTTTCTTGCGACCTGTTATTTGTTGCCTTTCGCTATTGACCTCCTTGTACCATTGCACAAATCCGCACCTGTGTTCAGCATTACTGCTGTCCGTGGATGTGTTCATGATAAAAAACATAGTCACAGATGCAAACCATGTGCATTCATTGCCTGCTCTAATTGCTACATCACTATGCACTGCTCTCCCATGAAACTCTGGTGAGGCTCTTGCAATTTGAACAAGCGTGCCCCTGTTTGTTCCATCCTGTACGCAGGTGATGGCGAGGTGTGTCCCTGTGTGTATGAGCAGTTGGTCAGAAGGAGGTTGACAACCATTCTCCACCATGTACGTCGTCAGTGCAGCTCGAAAATTGAGTCTGCAAGGAAGCTCTTTGAGTATCTTACACGCAAGGTTGTCAATGCCTTTTTCCTCTTGTATGTACACGTCATCGATGTCGAACCACCGCAGTTGCAGAGTTGCTGTATCGCGTAGTGCCAGGGTGTTCATTTCGGTCGCCATACAGTCTGTCACGGACGACCGGTTCTCAACCGTTCTCTTCCTTCGTTTCCTTACGATCTCTATCTCGTCACGCAATGTCAGTGACCGGCGTACATGGTTCACTATCTGGGTTGAAGCTTTCCGCTTGTTTGATGGCATGTATGGCTGTTTGCAGAACTTCCTGTGGTGATGCTCCCAGACATCTGCTGCAAAGGTGTCAGGGACACTAGATCGCTCAATGCACGTTCTCAGATGCATGAGATCGTGCAACTTGGGGAGTTTCCATGTTGATGGTTGATATTTTTCTAGTTTTGCTTTGATGGTCGTTATGAAGTCCGTGATCAAAGCATCGCATTCATCGAGCGAAGCACGCTTGTGTGTTGTGCACCGAAACACATGTATGTACATTTCCATTAGTTTCACAAGACAAATGGTAATGCCTTTGCTTGTCGAGCGTGGGATAATATTACAAATAAGGAACACGCATACTATCATCACAGACCGATTTTGCTTGACCTCAAACCATCCCTCCCTCGAAAAAAAGTCGCTGCCAGTGGCCACGGGCAGCACAAGTTGTGGGTATGTTCGAGAGCATCTCTCACTAACGCTTTGCAACCTTGCATCCAGTTCCTTCAGGATCTCTGTGTGTGGTAAGTGTGCCAACTTCTCAAAGGCTGCGGTCCTAAATGTGTCAATCATGTGCAAGAATATGCCATGCTCGATTGTGTGCATACGGTTTGGTTGCAATGCCAGGTGGTAGTCTAGTTGAGGATCATCACCATTGGGGCCCCTGTAAAATCCCCAAAGGCCATTTTGTTGAACATGCTTATGCATGTTCAACTCTGACATTCGTGCTTCAGTCACACGGCGAATGTCATTGTCATCGGTGTTGAACACATATACTGCGAGTTGTGTTTCCAGTGTCTGTGATCTCCTGCAGTTCGTAAAATCGACCACGACATCAAAGTCGTTTTTTGACACGGTGCACGTTGGACACATACCAAATTTCACAGTTGCAAGCGCACATCTTTCTGGGTAGTCTTGTATATAATTGAGGAGGAAAGGGTGGACAATTATGTCCCCAAATCGCTCTGTCGGTATCATTATGTCATCATGAGATGCCTCCTTTGCAGACTGCAACACCACTGCAAGAGCCTTGTGCAAAACGACGTCCTTTCGTTTTCTGAATGCGTTGGACTGCACACCCCATCCTTTGTCATGTGGACGATGATGAAGCACAGAAAGATAAGCCAGCAATGTAGCTTCGGATGCGTGATCGGCCAGTGACATCATCAGAGGGTACGCTGTTTGTTTTTTACGACCGTCTATATGTGTCTTATCGGAATACAATGAGAGAGGGATGACATAATGTGGATTACCATTCCTATCCACACCTTTGTCTGCTCTAATGATTGTCTGGACGTGATAACTTAGTGCCCCGGTGTGCTGGCTGGATATGTTGAGGTGCTATGACAGAGGAGACATTTCCAGAGAAGACACCATCTCGCATTTTTGTAATGCGATTTGCAAAATCGACAGAAATGTCGTTTGCCAGTTGCGGTGCCACAAGATGACGTGCGTATCTAGTGGCCAATCATCACATCGTAGATCAAGCTCTTGCCATCCAACAGTCTCTGCTTGACTGCCTGCCCATGTCAAACATTCTCGACTATTACGATATGTGATGTCTCTCCTGTCGAATCTCGGGTGTGTGAGAAGTGACAAGAGAGCATCGATGTCATTCTGCGACATACGGACGCCGCCCCTGGCAGAGAAAATCAGTGCCGCCAGCTTGCGAGAGCTGTCGAAATTCTCTACAGGCGGCAGTTGCTGTTCTTCAAATGTCCCGCCCTCCACCTCTAGATTGTCGGGGGCCTCGACGTCCTCACTCTCATCACTGATGAGATTCACTGCACCTATACTTGATGGTCCGGCCTCATCGACCACACCCACCTCCTGCCCTAGTGTTCTTTCGGCCACTGCGGCCGGGCATGCCCTCGCTCGATGTGAGTTTAAAGTCCGTAAAGACATGAAAGGTCTGCCACAGTCGCACACCCTTGGAGCGTTGTCCATTTCGTAATAGCGTTTTTCTGTTTCACCTCTTTTAAAACTTGAGTCGCAAATTCTTTCATATATATGACGGACGCCCTTTCGTCGTGAAGTTATCGGCTTACACCCCTCACCTTGGGACACCGCTTTCTGTGCGCGAAGTGCAGTCCAAAAACAAACAGAGTGGTGTGGGCAGTATTTTCATTAACATTTTTGTACATTGTTTCTGGTCGTTTTAATAGTAAGTAGCAAAGCGTATTTTATTTTCTCGTCTCAATGTTGCACATCCTTTTCTTTGTGGGAGACATAAACAAAGGGAGTACTGAGTGCCGTTTTCGGTATAAATAGTCTGTGTGTGATGATAATTGAGAGAGATTACTAGTCAACTGTGTGACACAATAATTTATATGTCATGACATAAATGGTCGTGTAGTCAAAGGCAACGTTTGACAAATGGCACAGAATACATGACAAATAATTCATCATCACGTTTGCGCTGCTGCCACGTGACTAGGTAGCAATCCACGACGTTTGTGTATGTGTCATGTGTCTTCCATCTGCACAGGAAAATGATTGCAACTGCAGCACCCTAACCGACCTCCGCAAGCACTTCCAATATTTTTCACTCCCCAATAAATTAGTATTAAAATGACAAACAATGCAAGAAATGCACAACATACACACATTGGTGATCATAGGGGGTAAGATGTGTCTCATTTACTACGAAAGGCAATAAATTATGACATATATCGTAAAAATTAAAAATTGATTCAAATCTTGTCAAATCCAGTGTCTGCACGCAATTGTGAACCGCATGTACTTGGAGACGCAAAAAGCAACGAACATGACACACAACACGCAGACGGATATACAGGTTCTAATATATTTAGAACTCAACATACATCAGAGAGAGAGAGAGAGGGAGAGAGAGAGAGAGAGAGAAAGAGAGAGAGAGAGGTTCACTACTGCGCGCCAGAACGACAACAAACAACACTGGTGGACACGGATACACCATGCAGTAGTGAACCCGACAGTAGTTGAAATTGAAGACTGACATACATGATACATAGACATAGACGGATGTACAGTTTGAGTTTTTCATGCGCATCAAAACGTATGTGCAATGATTATTTATGCTACTACTCTACTGCTCTATGCTCTGCATGTCTGTCCTCATCTCTGCAGTCCTTGAGGGTCTGTTGTGGTATTTGGGTGTGTCTGTGTGTCATGCCGTGGCCGAGCACTAACTATTGCGTCTCTTGTTGACAAGCCGGGATGCAATGTCTCTTCACACGCAATCGTCAGTGCATCGTGGATGCGGCAACTTAGGTTGACTCCCCATGTCAGTGATGTCGCTAGCACAACCTCTCTGTTCACCAGAACAAACCATCCCTTGCCAAGACGTGACCACTTTTTCCCCTTGGTGCATGATTTCATAATGCTGGTCACTGCGGCATACTGCAGTGCGCCATCAGGTGTTGCCCCCTTCATCACAACACGCAACACTTTTTGCGGATTGGAAAAAACACGTGCCAACCTCAAAATTGCATGTGCCCACCCTTTTGTCATCTGTCCACCTGCCCCCTTCAAATCATAGTACACATCACGTTCCTCTCCTTCCTCGTCGCTGCTGACATTGCTGACACTCACTTCCACCTCAGAAGATGATGCGCCGTCATCCTCTTCTTCATCTTCTTCTTCTGCATTTCCTGTGTACTCTGCAATAGAACTTGGTAACTCGGGCTCTTGGAATCCAGAATCACGCTGTTGTTCAGCCATTCAGCATATCTTTTTCCTCCATCTCCTCTGTCGGTGTTGTCTGCACAGGAGGTACAACGACTGACATACTGTTCATTGTTTCCTGTGCCGCTGATGTTTGTCCGTTGTGTGGAATGATTGCAAGATTTGTTTCCCTGACCATCAACTTTCACCCTTCTTCTCTTTTTCTTTGTCTCTCAACATCGGAATCAGCATGGCCGAGCTGCTCCAAAGCAGCATATAATATACCCTCTCACAACGGTGTGTCACATATCATATTGTCTTCCTTTCTTGCCGGCATATATTCAATTAGCTCTTCACCCTGCAGTACCAACTCTGTGACTTCATGCAAAGCCTCATGGACGACGTTCCTGTCGTCGGGACTCTTTTTCATTAAGTCCACAAGTTGATCCAGCAGAACATATTCGACACCATCTGCGACTATGACAGGAACATTTTGAAAGTCGATTGGAGGTGTTTGTGTTATGTCCTTCATTCTGGACAACACCAAAATTTTCGCTGCACCGGTCTTCAACTCGTCCTTCGACCCATCAACAACCATCTCCAAATTCTAAGCGGAAGTGCCCAACACCTTCTTGAAATCCGCAGGTGTATATCTCCCCCCATCTGCATCATTGTCATGTCCACGTCCCCTTCTTCACACATCCCTTCGCTGCACATCCACTGAACTACTCCTTTCAGACTATATGCATTGTCTTCCACGTCGCTGTCCACACGTACATGTAGTGACTCCCTGAAGCGTTGGAACACTGTTTGTGCTTTGACACACCCCTCGCCGTTTGCCATCATCGTGGATCTCATATCCACACTGACAATGAAGCACCTCGACACCCTGTCCTCAAGCAAAGACAACTCGCTGTCATTGTCATAGTGAGTGCCCTCCTTTGCATACTCCATCACCTCTGCAAGAGCAGCCTGCACCTACGCTACTGACATAGACATGATGCGTATGGTTCCTCTTTCCTCCTCTTCTCTCTGCCAGCAGAAACGCACAATGACGTCAACGACTCTCTCTCGGTGGTTCTTTGTCAGTGTGTGTATAACTGTGTATGTGTGAGTGTCTATGCATGTGCCTGCGTGTCTGTTCCTAAGTTGGCTACTGCGTGCCATTTGAAATCGCAACGGAACTGTGTGGTCTGTGCCTGGCACGCAGTGGCCAACCCGAGGGAGGCTGTGTGGCTCTGCATGTGTACTCCCCCTGTGTATGTGTATCTGTGCATGTGTGTCTGTGCATGTGTATCTGTGTATGTGTACTCGCCCTGTTGGTCTGTCTGTGTGCGTGTGTATGTGTATCTGTGAGGCTGTGTGTATGTGCATGTGTATCTGTGTATGTGTGTCTGTGCATGTGTACTCGCCCTGTTGGTCTGTGTGTGTGTGTGTATGTGTATCTGTGAGGTTCTGTGTCTGTGTGTGTGTGTGTTATCAGCTCCCCCACAACAAACCCTATTCGAACCACACGAGTAGAACGAGATTGAGTTTGTCAGGACTGTGAGGTAGGGGGAAGCAGAGTGCAGCTGTAGGAGAGAAATATATGAAGGGCAAAAAGTATGACTTGCAAAGGGCAGGAGGAGGAGGGAGAAGGGGACTAGGGAGGAGAGTGGCGTGGTACCTACCTAGTTATGGTGGAGACCAACTTCCTCACCTTGTTAAGCGCTGCATCTGGAAGGCCCCCATGGGAAGCTCGGGGCAGCGTCAGGCATGGCGGATCAGTCAGCAACGACTTAGCTGCTTTGTATTGTCCGTTGGACAGGAAGGGGGGCAGCCACATAGCTGCTTTGTGTTGTCCGGTGTACATCAGGGCAACGACGTACTGGCCCGCCATAGCCTACGCATGCGAGAGGAGGAAGAAGGATGGCGGCCATGGCTATGGTGGACCACATGTTCTGCCTGTAGTACATGTGGGATTCAGGACTTTGATTCTGGTTCAACCATTCAACAGACCAGACGGACAGACAGAAAGACCAGACAAACAGACCAGACAGACAGACAGACAGACAGACAAACAGACAGACATACAACAAACAGACAGACCAGACTAGAGAATTGAAAGAAAAAGCAAAAAGGAAAAATCCGGTTTTCTTTTGGACCATGAATCTGAAATCAGATCTCATGGTGGAGAGAAAACAACCGTTTTTTGTGAGCCAGCAAAAAACGGCTAGATCTGGAATGAGGTGGTAACCAAAAAGAAAAGAAAATAAAAAGGAGAAAATGACAAAACAGTGCATTTGGCCAAAAAGAGGTCCAGATGCGTCAAAAATTGAAAACGGGCCTTGTGGACCCAAAAACTAAAGCATGAGCTACCATGGGGTAGATCGGAATAATCCTGGCCTTGGATCTCAGCCAGATCCAAGGCTGAAAATGCAGCGCCACATTGAAAAATGGTCTGGCCTACCCAAGGTAGGCCAAACTCAAAAAAATGCTGAGAAAATGCCCTTGTTGACCTTTTTCTCCAATTGGGGCTGCAGTTTTTGGGTCTAGGCCCTAGAAATGGCATTTTGGAAAAATGGTAGAGGCCTTGAGAGACCAAGAGGCAATCCGAGTTGGTACCAACCACTCAGACTGCATGTACCTGGCCGAAAAGAGGTCCAGGTACCCCCGGAGAGGCCTAGAAGTGAGAATTGGCTAAGGGGGTACCTCGGTTCACCTTGCGAACCCTTGGGAGGGCCCAAGGGCTGGGCAGACTACTGTTCCCAGCCTATATAAGCTGGGGAATCAGTCCGCCACTCCCATACTTGCATGAGGAGTGCCCATGCTGCCCAAATGAGCCCGTGGGAACTCTAGAGGCAAGTTGAGAGTAGTGAGGGGAACCCCTGCCAGTCCGGAAGCTTGGAAGTGGCAATGAGCTAGTTGGGGGAGACTCTACAAGCTAGAGGTAGTGAAGGAGGTAGTCCGCCATAGCTCCCAGGCTAGTAGAGGAGAAGGCAAGGCTGAGAGGAGTCTCATTAGCCCTCCTAGAGGGAAAGACTCCCTAGCCTTAGTGATAGGAGCCCGTGGGAACTTGGAAGAGAGAGGAGAGGTGAAGAAGAAGGCTTGAAGGGGAAGGTAGCCATAGCCAAGGAAGAGTTGTGCAAGGAAGAGAGGAAGCCTCGCCAAGATTGAGACTCCATCTCCGAGATATTGACAAGGTGAGTGAGAGGAGGAAGATGTATCTTCTTCCCCATCCTCTCCTCCATCTTCTTCTTCATCCTCCTTCTCTTCTTCTTCTTCTTCTTTTTCTTCTTCTCTTCTTCATTAGTCTTCATCCTCTTCCTCTTCTCCTTCTCCTCTTTGTTTTTTTTCTCCTCCTTCCCCTTCTTCATCTTCTTCTTCCTTGGGATGATCAAACTCTTGTTTTTCACCTACATACTAATTGGGAGTGTTCCGATTCTTCTAAAGATGATCTCATGGTGATTGCTTGTGATTAGAGCTCTCCAAACTTGTGCTTTTCACTCATTGGCTAGTAGGTAGTGTAGCGCAACACCCATGGATGTTTCGTGATGCAATTTGGATGATTAGAGCTCTTCAATCTTGTGTTTTAGCTGATTTTGATGCTTGTGTGTGTTGCGATTCATCTTGGGATACTTCGGTGAACTTTTCTCTAGTGTAGATGCTCTCAATCTTGTGTTTTAGCTGATTTTGATGTTTGTGTGTGTTGC